TGTTGGAGAAGATCTTTTACCAAGGGTTTAATATAACCATGATTAGGATTTCCTCGTAAAGTATCTCAGTGATAAAAAGTTTGGCTGCCTTTTTCATAAACCAACAAACTTCAATGAAAGTCTGGATTGTTGATTGGAATAAATACTAAATCACCATTAAAACCAGTTAATTCACTAAGTAAAACCGGGAAACTAATGGCGGCTTCTAGATCTTTCTGGTTAGCTTCCTTGGCAAACATGAATTGAGTTAATTCGAGAATTTTAAACTTAGAAATTTGTTCATAAGGCGAACGTAGTGTATTTATTACTTTTTCCAAAGTTCAGTCGATTTCTCTGTCAGTTAATCAGCGGCCGGATTTGAATCAATTGTTATCATTTAATTCTTCTTTATTTATCTTAGTTTGTTTAACTTCTTCCTCTTTTTTCTTAGAAATTTGGTTATCGCGGGTTTGGATTTGATTTTGTTCAAGCGGAATTTGGATTTGGGCTTGGAATTGCTTTTCTCGCAAACTGATTACATAATCACTTGGGTAATAAATTGATTTCTTGTTGTTTATTTTTTTATATCAATCTAGATGTTTTTCATACTTTTTACGCAAACTTTCCTTATCATCATAACTAAGAAAATCCTTGATAGTCTTATGCTCTCAATTTTTTAATCACTGAACATAACCAACTTCAGTCGGTTTTATAAAATTAGTGTCTATTCATTCTTTTGCGGTCTCTAAAGTAAATCCTCAATCCACTCACTCTTTTTTTAATGCGGGGGTGAAATCGCGGTGAATGACGGTTCAATCCACTTTCGACATTTTGCTTTTCTTTTGTGTATTGTTGTTTTGGGAACTAATTGATAATTGTCTTTTGCCGCTCACACCATTTTTCTCATTAAAATTCTCTAGTGGAATACTAACAGTGTTTAGAAGTCGAGAACCTCAAAATTGCTCGTTGATTGCTTTAGAATTTACTGGTTTGGAGAGATTTTTGAAATCTAATAATCGGCTAGTATAAACCGCTAAAGGATGAACTTGATAAGTTGTTGTTAATAATTCAATAAACTCTTCTCACCCCTCGTACTTTCTTTCATCATAACTATGTAGCTGACAAAAATGTGAAAATAATTCTTTTTCTACTTTTCATGATTTCTCGGGTTCTACTTCTATAGTTTGACCTTTGTATTGTTGATAAAGTCTAGAAAGAGATTTACAATACCTTTCTTTTTCCTTCTCTTTATTGAATTTTTCAACTTCTTTTACTTCCCTAGTAAATTCAGTTTCTCTGCCCCAATAAACATTTTCAATTTCACGATTTCAGTCTTTTAAAATTTTGTACAAATCTTCGGCCATCGGTCTTCATAAATGATTGGTATCCCAACACTCATTGATTAATTCTTCTAATGATTCGGGAATTTTAATCTGAAATTGCGGTCGTAATCCTTGACGGATTTTCATAGCAAGATCTAAGTTATGTTCCCTGTCATGAAAAGGAGGTAGCCCTGACAACATTTCATAAGCCACCATGCCAAAAGAGTAAATGTCAGAAGATTGAGAATATGGTGCCGGCGTGTCTGGTTTTGGGTTCAGCAAAAATTCTAAGAGTTCAGGAGCCACATAAGGCAATACCCCATATATTTTATTTTCACTTGCTTCGTTGGCAGGTTGACATAATCCTAAATCAGCAATATAACTAGTAATACTACCTACTGCTGTACTAAATAATATATTTCCAGCATGCAAATCTCGGTGTATTAATCCCTTTTTGTGAATTGCTTCCAGACCACTTGCAATGAACTCCAGGTCTTTAAGTTTTTCCGCGAAGTTTAGTTCGGAGCGTCAACACACCCAATTCTGCAAATAATTTCTCAAATCTCCTGCCTCCATATATTCCATTACCATTACGTAATTCTTAGTTTTGGGATCTTGTGATATTCCATAACACTGAACAATAAAATTACCGCCGAGCGACTTATAATTAGTAATTTCTCGCAAAAAGTCAACCATAAGGTTTTGGGAATTATTCAAACTCTTTAGAACAATTTCTTTATTGTTATCTCTCACCCAACTGCTTTTTTCAATGCTTCATTCTATAATTGGACCATCAATTCACTCAGCCTTATATATCTTACCGAAACCACCTTCGGCTAAATATTCAACATTCGTAAATTGTTCATAAGGAATTCACTCCAATATCTCGTATACGTTTGTTGCTTTCAATTGACGTTCTTTAATGAATTTGTCAATAGCCGGGCTTCCGGATCAGTTTTGGAAATTTTCTCTAAATCTTGGGAAATAGCAAACTTGGCATCAGTATTCTCCTGCATTAGGCTGTTGGCACTCCCCACATAACCCGTATGCTCTATATCTTTTTCTTAATTCTATATTGGGTATTAAGCTTTCAATCAGTAATTCTTGTTTAGGGGTAGGTCAAGGAGAAATGTTTTTTATTTGTTCAATTACTTCCGAACTGAGTTCAGGATTGTTTTTCTCTTTTTCCAACCAATTTTTGTATTCTTGTCTTAAGGCTTGGCAACTGCTATGCGTCATTGATGAAGGATTCTCTTTTTTGATGTCTTTTAATCAATGAGCATAATCGTAGTCGGTTTGCTTCAAACCAATATTAATTCATTCCTTACACTGTTGCACTGTAAATCCTCTGTTTTGCCATCTAATTATAGATGCAGAAGCAAATTTAGTATCTTTTCAATTAACATACTCCGTTCTTGATTTCTCAACCTCAAAATCTTTCGATTCTGGATAATAGCCTAATTTCGTTAAATAGCTAGCAAGTTCAGCTTCGATCGGTAACAAACCTCTATTGATTCATCTTCTATAGTTTAAACCATCAAATCCTTCAAATTTTCACTCTCTCATTAGTTCCAGAGTCAAGCCATGAGCAGTTTGCCAACCATGTTCATTTCTTAAATTTCAATAATCGTCATAACTACATTTTGAAATTTCTGCCGTCGTTAAATGCTTTGCATCCCTCAACCAAGAATAAAAATCATAAAGTCAGGCCCCAAAAAAGTTTTTTCTTTTTCCAAGAATACTACTTAATTCTTTGACTTGTTCAAAACTAAATCCTTTATCTTCTCATTGCTTTTGTAGTGATTCTGTAAAATCGGGATGGATATTTTTTCAGTCAGTCATATTATATTTGTACAACTTTTTTCTCTTTTAGAGAATCCAATCTTATAAAAACTCTCCTAAAGTTAATAGGTTACGAGGATAAAATGATAAAAATCTAATCATGTCAAACGCTAATCTAGAACCAGAAATCGCCGAATTAAAGAAACAACTCTAAGAAGTAAAACAAGACCATCAAAAAGAAAAAGACATGTGGAGTAAACTTATGGTCAAAATTATTTTCTGAGGAACTATTGCCTCGAACATTTTCCAATATTTCTAAAAGAAAAAATTTGGCAAAGAGAACTTGTTGCGAAAGGAGTTAAAGAGATCAATCAGAAAATACTTGAGAGATAATTTCTTTGATTTTGGTCATAATGTCCTGATAATTTTCATGCACGAACTCCTTTATTTTCTCTTGCTCGTGTCCGAAAAATCTTCCCCACTTCCTGTCTATTTCTAAATATTTAGAAGACAACAAATATACTTTTATTTCTCCCTCTTGGCTAATGAAATGGATATGCAATAATTCCCGAGATTTAGTTCCAATTGGTTCATATTCATGAGCATAAAAGCAACAACGATAACCACCCCACTTCCTACGTGGGTCTTTGCTAGGAAAAATCTGATTCATGAAATTTAACAAGAATTTAGTCCTTTAGCAATTATTCAAGTAGGCAATACTTCGTCGGCTTCGGGAAAAAATATAACTTTCCCTTCTCCTCATAATTCGTATTTTTCTAATTGTTTCGTTTTGATTTCGGCTGATATTATTTCATTCTTAATAAGTAAAGATATGGGCACAATTACTTCTCGTCCGTCATCTAATTGAGCGGATAATTTTTCTTCCTGAATTTTAAGACTAATTACTTTTGCTTCTTTTTCGGAACTCTTTTGGCGTTCAATTCGCTCCTTTAATTCTTGTAAAATCTCTTGGTTGCTGGCTTGTCTTAGTTCGGGCATGACGTTTTTTAGTTATTGTTTTTTAGGCGAAATTTGGATTTGGGCTTGGAGGGAAGTTTCTCCTTTTTCCTTTAAATTGGTCTCTTTCAACTGTTCTCCAATTTGATTTAAATCTAAACTTATGCTTTTTGACATAGCACTACAAGATTGCTCGGTTTTTTGTTGTTGTAACAATTGAGTGATTATTTTAGTGTTTATTAACTTGCTAGTAGTAACTGCTTGAGGATGAATTTGATAAAGAGTAGTTTGGGAGAAAGCGTCGTATTCTTTTTTTATGGTTTGATATTGTTGATAGAATTCGGTATTATTCTTCTCTTCCACTTCTTTTTGCCAATTAACAATAACTCTTTCTATTTCCTCGGCACTTGGTCTATTTTTGAGACTAGCGTCCCAACATCTTTTAATTAAGTCCTTTAATAGTTGGGGTATTTTCAGCTCGTCAATGCTAGGTCGATATCCTTGACAAACTGCCAAAGCTAATTCTATACCATCTAATTCTGGATAAGGATAAGAGTTAGCCAATAATTCGTAGGCAATTATTCCAAAAGAATAAATATCAGCTGCTTGCGTATAAGGCTTGCCTTGCAAAACTTCTGGAGCTACATAAGGCAAAACTCCATAAATTCTTTCTTCTTTTTTTTCAGCATCAGCTGGTTTACATAAACCAAGGTCAGTAATATAACAAGAAAAACTACCGGATTTTTCTTCTTCTTCGTGCTTGTGTTTTTCACAAGAGAGAAGAGATTCATTGTCGAGAGAAGAATATTCTAGTTTTGCTAGTTTTGAATCATTATCTGGAAAAAGAGGGTAATAGTTTTTCCCATCATCATGATTAAGGCTTGTGGTATAAATCATATAACTAACATAAGCATGCATAGCATTTCGTTTCTTTTTCGCGTTATGTTTTTGCATATCATTATACATTTTGTAAAAGTAGTTAGAAACAAAATTAGATTTTACAATGATGTTGCCTGGATGAAGATCTCGATGTATTAATCTTCGTTCGTGAATATCTTTTACTCCCCCTGCAATTTCTTTCAATTGCTCAATTTTATCTTCAAAACTTATCCACTGTTTTTGTTTTTTTAGATATTGACTCAAATTATCACCATCAATATAACTCATTACTATTGCATAGTTCTTAGATTTGGGATCTTGGGAAATTCCATAACATTTTACAATTCTAGTGTTACTATCGAACAATCTGTGATTGTCAATCTCTTGTAAAAATTCATTAGTTATATTTTCAGAATTGTTCAAAACTTTTAAGATAACTTCTCCATATTTTTCACATTGCGCTCTGTACACTGTTGCAAAACCACCTTTAGCGAACCGTCTGATACCATCAAACTCCTTATAAGGTATTCATTCTAAAATATTATCATTTTGACTAGTTGCTTCGAGCCGAGATTTTTGAATGAGTTCATCAATTTTTTTGTTCCCACTAGTTCATGTAGAAAATTCTTGTTGCAAATATTTAGCACCGCAAGACTGACATAATGCTTCATAATTGTAATAACTCCTTTCTATATTAAGTTGGCTGCATTCTTTACATAGTCCGTATTTCTCATATTTTTCTTTCAACTCCTTGGTAGGAATTAGTTTGTTAATCAATTCGTCGCGTAACGAACTTTCTTTTTTGATTTTCCA